GCAAAATGAATGTTTGGACATGTAAACTGATATTTCCTACTGACAAACCACAGCCAAAGATAGAAATAACTGATTTTAAAACCATTTTTTAGATGGTGAAAATACTAGTGTTCTAATCATTTTGGCTAATAATGTTAAACACTAACATTGTAATTCATGTAATGGATTTAAAATGGATTTTCATATTTTCTTGATCTTGGACAGAATCAGGATCTATAAAAATACATTATGCACATAAATGCAATTAAAAAAAGAAAAAAAAAGAAACAATACAGGCATAGTAAAAGGTATAGTTTCGAATATGGTTAAAAGTGACCTTCATATTACAAAAATAAAGATCTGTTAATTTTAAAAATAATGAACCCCTGGGAAATGATCTTGAACAAATGAAAATCCTCCAACCTATCTAAAAATCGAACTTTAAGAACTGTATTGCAAGCACTGGTATTTCCTGTTCCACCAACCCTGTGACCTTGAGCCAGGTGCTTACCCTAAACTGTACTTGCATGATTGTCCTGGCAATTAGTGTCCAATAATCTACACTAAAGTGTCCACTCTATGAATGTGTCAAAATTAGTCTTAGCACTGTGCATTTGTAAAGTCATACACACTCACCATGAAATTCCAGTCAGTGTTAATCTTGTCAGCCAGGCCCAGCAGAAACAGGGCAAGGTATAGAGACGAACAGATGAACATGGTTACTGACACAAACATCACCCATCCCTGCAACAATGGCACAGACACATTCGTCGACGCTACTAATATCCACACCAACCCTCCAAACACCTGATTGAAAAAAAAGTATATATATGAAGCCACTGCATTTTATATAGCATATTAGAAAATAAGTAATACTCAAAGATGAAAAATTACTAGATATTTTCAGTATTATCATGGGATAAAGTCATTGTTTAGTTACTTGGCCTAATGCAACATGTGACCCACTAAAAACACCACAGTTTGCTGACAGGTAAGACAGGCTTTCTGAATTCAAAGACCTCAAAATTTGTTGTGATTGGTGTGTATGGGCATAATAAACCTAATATTATCTTTCAGAGTATCAAGTATGAATCGTATACTTATATCCTTATTATTATGACTTACACATGAAATAAAGGTGTATAGGCTACTGTACTGCCATAATCCAACAAAGGATACATCTTTGTGAATTATAGAGGTTTAACCCAGTAAGTCTGGAAAAAGTTATAAACAATAACACTTACAATTTCCAAACAAATCAGGGCCCCTGAATATGTCCTCAATATTTCCATTCCAAGTGGTAGAGAAATAGTCGGTGCTGGAAAGGAGGTAGTAGCCGGGTTCGGTGTTTCCGCCATCCTCATTCAGCTTGACAAATACAGGTTGAACAAAGGACTAACGCATGGGAGAATCCTGCTGGAGTCATGTATCAGGAACAGGTCTGACAGGTTTGTGGCCACTCCCATCTTGTTAGGTCATTTTCCACTCCCACAGTTGAGCCAAACAATGGTGTCTGAGGGCATGCAGTCTCAGTTACTCTGAATTTGACAGGCTTTATTATTTAAAATGTGCCACTGTTTTTAGTTTAGTTTTTAGTTTTCCTTTGTCCACAATACGATTTATTTTATTTTCTTCTGTTTGGCCATGCACAAAAATAACTGAACATTTTCATAACTTTGGTTAATAATTAACACGTGCTTAGGTTCAACATACCTAAATAAACATTATTTTACACCCCAAATTGATAATAAATAAAATCTCAAAGAAGAAACAACTCTTTGTTTGATTTGATTTGTTTCTAGGTATTGAATGAAGCAGGGACGTGCACAGACATTTTGAGGGGCAGGGGCTCA